GGGGGTATTGCATTCCTCCGTTCGCGCCAATATGGCGGGGATGTCTCGCGCGGGTTGCCTGTTTCGGTGCTCAGCATCTTCCGCTGTCGGAGCAGATTGTGAGGATGTCTCGAGCGAGGCGCTGGTCCTCGCACCCCAGGGGGGCCAGATCTTGAGGATGTCTCAAACAGGTTTGCTTATTTTGCTGGCCAGACTCGTGGGCATGGATTCTCCTCAGGATGCCCTAGGAGGCTCCAGCAGCCTCCAGGAGGCCCCAGGAGGCCACAGGAAGTCCAAGAGGCATCAGGATGCCACAGGAGGTTTCAGTAGGCTCCAGGAGGCCACAGGAGGCCCCAGGAGGCCCCAAGAGGCTCTAGGAGGCCCCACGAAGCACCAGGAGGCCACAGCAAGCCACAGGAGGCCGCAGGAGGCCACAGGAAGCGCCAGGAGGCACCAGGAGGCCCCAACAGGCCCCGGGAGCCCCCACGAGGCCCAAGGAGCAGGAGGCTTCAGAAGGCCACAGGAGTGGCTCCATTCCCTTGTGTTTTACATATGCTCCTATAGATTGGGACTCCCCTTGAGCACCAATCCTTGGTGTTTTACGTATGTTTCTATAGATTGTCATTCTTCTGCGTATCCACTCCTAAGTGTTTTCCGTGTGTTCCTACATATTGGGCCTCTCCTGGGGCACGAGTCCTTGGTGTTCGACGTGTGTTCATATCGATTGCTTTTCCTGCGGCTCCAACCCGACGAGTTTTTTGCGTCTGTGCCTATCTACAGGGCTTCTCCTGGGGCCCGAATCCCCCCCCCAGGAGGCACCAGGAGGATTCAGGGGGCTCCAGGAGGCCAGACGAAGCCCCAGGGCCTCAGGAGGCCACAGGAAGCCCCCACGAGGCCCCAGGAGGCCCCAAGATGATCCAGGAGGCCCTAGGACCCCCCAGGAGGCCTCAAGAGGCCCCAGGAGGCCCCAGGCTCATGCGCAGAGACGCGCTCGTACTATTGAGACCCATCCACACTCAGTTCATTCACAGTTAGACTCGCTCCCAGACCGTCAGTACTCAAGCCCGTTTATGTTCGAAAACTCCTGCGCCCAGATATCGCGACGGACAGGCCCATGCGAACAGATGTGCACATGGGGAGCTCCGCGCAGTGAATCACCCGGGGGCCGCTGGAGGGCTCGTTTGGTTGTCGCTGCCCCCCCACGATGCTCGACAGAGCGCTTTCTGAATACGCAGGGGCCCTTCGACGCGCGCTCGCCGGGCCTCCTCAAAGGCGTCGCGCCCTCGCGCGTTGGCATGGGCAAGTCTCCCAAAAGGGCCAGGCGTGGGATTCAGTCGAAAAGGACGGCTCGCAATCTCTCGTGCTTTGCGCTGCCGCCGCCCCGCCATGCGACGCGTCGAATGTTGCGTGCGTGCTGGCCTCGTGTCGCCCAACACTTTCATCGCTCTTCAGGGAGTTTGTGGTTCGCTGGTGGAGCGTCGTCACGAGGCGCCGCTGCGCCATTGGAAGGATGTTGCCGTTTTCTCGTCCCTTCCGTGGCGCGATGTTGGAGGGGTGGCTCTGCTCGTGACTGGCTTGCCCCAGCGGTCGGAGGAGGAGGAGGAGGCGCTCGCTGAGGGTCGCACCAGACATTCGGAAGTGGCCCCTGGCTGGTCATTTGCAGAGGCTTCAGGTCATATTGCTCGTGGTTCTCCGGCGGCGCCTGGGGCGCGCGAGGTCCGGCGCTCCGAAGGCCCGGGCCGGGCCATCTGCAGCGCGCGCTTCACTGGCGCGGATGCGGCTGCGACTGCCCAGCTGCCCGGGAGGATTCCTGCGGGGGTGTCCGTGGCAGAGGCGCGCCCGCAGGGTTCCGCGGCCATGGTGCTCGGCGGCGTCGGCTTCCACGATCAGTCGGCGACGTTCTTGGCGACGCTCGAGGTCGACGAAGGGCTGCTCGCCGAACCTCGACATCGCGAGCAAGGCCAGAGGTGGGCGGAGGCCCTGCGCGCACTGGCGCAGCTGGGCCCTGGGCGGCCGACTCACATCACCAAGGGTGAGGGCTGCCTTATTTTGTTCGACGGCATCTGCGCCCCTGGCCGGCTTGCGTCGCAGCTGGGCATCGTTTCTACAGCGGCGGCGCAGCCGGAGTTTCTGTTCGACGGGGGCATCTCGGGCCATGGCCCAGTGAAGGCTGACTTTGCCGATCGCCCTGCAGTCCCTGCTGCAGGGCAGGCTCTTCCCCGCCTCCTGTGCCAATCCTGGCATCTCGGCATTCTCTCCCCTGTCTCCTGTCGCGTTCGCCTCTCCGCTCCCTCCCCCCCCGCGCGTCGGCGTGGCGCGAATATGAGTGCTTGCGTGGGGAAGCGGCCCGCGTGGCTCGCCACTTCTCTTCGTCCGATGTCAGGTTCTGCCTTCTGCGTCGAGTTTCGGATCCTTCGCTCAGTCTCCAATGCCGTCAACCGTGATGATGCCCCGCTCGCAGTTTTTTGTTGGCTCGCTTCGGCCCCTGCTGCCAGCGCGCAGGATCCGGCGGCGT